TTGTCAACTACAAAAATGAAGCACTAGATTTGTGCGGTGTATTCTGAAATTTTCAGCGTATTTCAACATGTTTGAGATAGCTAAAACTACAGTAATCCGGGTACTCACCTGCCACCAGCAACACCAACACTTGTCTCATCTCTGATTTTTTTTCACTTTTTTTCCTAATTACAAAATTAGGTGAAAAATGAAATGAAACAAGAAACTTCGGTCGCTGATAAGCCCCTAATATACGCACTCTCTTATCACTATCATTTTGTCGATTTCGACAATTTTTATCAAAAAATTTTTCCAGCCGGGTAATTCCGTTTTCAAGACGCTATTTGGCTGGAAAAGGATGATAAATTGGGTAATTTTGATTTGATTCGTGGCAATTACTAAGTCATTCCCGAATTTGGGTGTCTGACGTATTCCGAGAGCATCATGAGGAGAAAGTTCAAACTATGGAGTTGAGGAAATTTTGATTTTTGAGATTCTGGAAGATTCTGGAGTTCTGGAAAATGCTGAAAGCCAGGGATGCTCTGAAATTCTAAAAAGTTCTGAACATTTTGGAAGATTCTGAAATTTAGGTATATTCTGAAATTTTAAAACATTCTGGAAAATTCTGGGATATTTTGAAATTCTGGAAAATTCGGGAATTCTGAAAGATTCCAAAATCTGGAAAATTAAGTAGACTCTAAAATTCTGGAAGATTTCGGAAGTTCCGAAGATTCTGGAAAGTTCTGGAAGATTCTGAAATTTCAGGAAAATCTGGAAATCTGGCAGATTCTGAAAATTCGAGAACATTCTAAAATTTCGGAAGATTCTGAAATTCTGAAAAATTCAGAACTTTTTTTTGGAATATTCTGAAATTTTAGAAATTTGAAATTCTGAAAATTCTGAAAGTCAGGAACATTCAGAAAATTTTTTGGAAAATTCTGAAGTTTTAGAAAATCTGAAATTTTAAAAATTTGTGAACTTTCTTAGTTTTCAAAATGTTTCCAATTTTCTGGTTCCTTTTTCAGATTTTCAGATTTTCAAATCCCCAAAAATCAATTTTCATTGCATCACTATGATCATAATGTCTACAAAATGTGCAAAAAGGAAAAAAAGTGCAGAAAAAAGTACCAAAAAGAGAGAATTGATATAGAAATTATAAAGAAGACAAAGTTGTTTAAATAATCCGATTATACAGGTTTTCGCTTTTTTCTTAGAAAATAAAAGTTTTGTTGAAATATATTGTTTTGGGTTTCCTTATTGAATAGATTGCTAATTTTCAGAACTGTAACGTTATAGAACTCATTTTGAGCTAACGAATCTCAGTTAACCTTAGCTAGCTCAAAAGGAGTTGACCGCGCAGCTAGCTAATTTCGGAGAGAACTTAGTCGAATTTTGTATCGTTTTATAGCTCTTCTATAGTTCTATTTCACTCTTTTTGATTTTTTCGAAAATATTGAGTTTGAAGCGAGTTATGGGCATTTTTGGTATTGGTCCTCAGATTTACCAGGTAGCCCCCCTGGTGCTTGAACTAACTTCAAGAAAATTCTAGGCTTTTTTTAGGTCCTACAACCTATACATGTCCCTTTAAAGATTCCAAAATCCCCTCTTTCTCCCTCTTTAGATTCTGAAACTCATCTCAAGTGCTCCCGATTCACTTGACAACCGCTCTCTCCCTCCGTCTTCTTCTTCCGAACTTTTATATAATTCTTCAAGGCATTCATCTACGGGATACCTCTTCTGCAAACACTTGGCTCCTCACGCCTTCCCCTGAGCAATTGAGAAAAAGGAATACAATGAAATATAGGGTCATCGTGTTTAAGGGTGTGTCATTTGGCTCCTTAAAGATCCTTATTTTGTTACTGGCTGAGCTACACGATGACCAATTTTCCTATCATTCAAAAATTCCTTTTTAGAATTTTCTTATCTCGAAGAAACTTCCACCCATCATTCGAAGCGGAAATTCCTTACGCCTCCTCTTTAACCCTAATTATCTTAGTTCCTATAAGAGAGATCAAAAAGTTGTTAACTAATAAAATGTGTAGCTCAACATCATAAACATTTTACTAGTTGACACTTTTTAGATATGTCCCACAGGAACCAAGATAATTAGCGTTATAAAATAGATACCAATAGGCTGACTGCTTTGGTGTCCTTATCTTACGCACTATCAGTATCAAATCCTTTTTTGAAAAAACACATTTCATATTTAGATCACTCAAAAAAGCTAACTGTACCTGGATTTTACCGTTCCACGCAGGACAAGTAGACTCACCTGTTTACCGGCGTTTTCTTGAAAACTTTGAACCGGAAATAACTTAAATGTTATATAATTCTGTAGCTCTTGTAAAGCTATACTTGTTACTTTTTGAATTTTTCTAAAATATTGACTTTGAAGCGAGTTATGGGCGTTTCCGCTGTTCGTCCTTAAACTTACCAGGTAACGCTGCCTCGAACTTTAACCCTAATTATTTTGCTTCTCTTAAAAGGTATCAAAAAGTAGTCAACTAATTAAATGTGTAGCTATAAATGTGTAGCTATAGTACATCATAAACATTTTACTAGTTGACACTTTTTGGATATTTCCTACAGCAACCGAGATAATTAGCGTTATAAAAAGGACACCTGTCGGCTGACTGTTGTTCCTAGCGTTATAAAAGATACCTCTTCATATGGACATCCAAAATTCACTTTTGCTTTTTCGGATTTCTGATACTGTTCTTTGTCCTACTCACTTTGCTACTCAGAGCCTTTTTTTAATCCTTTAAAGGTGGGGGGACAGGAGATTTTACGGGGGATTTTTGGGGCCAGAGTATGCATTCTACCGTAACGGTGTACAACGCTTAATGTCACTCTGCGTACGGCGGTCGTCCTCGCCTTTATGTATGCAATCAGGCGCCCGCTCCAGTTTCGCCCGCATGGCTCAGTCGGTAGCGGCGCCGCACCTTCAATACTCGCCTCGACAAGTTCAACTCCTCGAGGGGCATATTTAAACAGAATTTCGAGAACATTATTTTTTCATGACCCCCCACCTTTAATATTACCGTTTCCGTTTGCCACTAGATCTTTCCATTCCCTTCCACTGTAGGCTGAATTTTTTTTTCCAATTTTCTAGATGTTCTGTTTCCATTTGCTACTATATTCATACTTTTGCCGTTTTATTTTTTTCAAATACTCAACTTTTTCAAGCCCCTTTTCTCATCATTTCTCCTCTCGATTCCACAAGTCTTGCCCATTCTTCTCCCCCAAGTCCATTGTCTTGCGTAATCAGTTTCGTAACCCATACATACTAATTGAGGACTTCCCCCACTTTTTTATACCACTACTCAGCGTTTTTTGTTGTTCTTGAGAGTGTAAAAAAGAAAGGGCACCTGCCTGAGAAAACATTCGAGAAAGAGGATATTGCGTTTTCTGAGAGAATTCGATATTCGGGATGGTTTTTTGGGTTACTGTACATTTTGCTAGGGCAGCCAGTTTTTATAAAATAATATAAATTTTACAAAACTGAAAAATTCTAATACATCTTAACTTTAGAATCACTCAAATATTCTGAATTTTTGTGAAGTTACCTGACTATCTAGACGCCGGCTGTTTAGTGGCTGTTGTATGCAATGACCGTGAATCAAAACTTAACAACTTGTATACAAATTTGTAGAAAATTTCAAAATCAACATTTCAGTTTTTTGGTTTTGCTCAAAATATTGAGTTTGAAGCGAGTTATGAGGCAAACCATAAGTAGACCAACCCAAAATAGCTCCTAATTTCTCTGTTCTTCCCAAAACGGCCTCTGACTTGTTGGACAGTCAATGAATGAATCAAAAATAAATAGGTGAAGCTTTAAATTCTCTTAAAAATGATATCAGTTAAACTGAACTTTAGTTTTATTTTCCAATCAGGACCCAATAAACCAGCGGACCTTTAAGGATAGTCAGCCTTTATGATTCAGCTCAATTATCTCATTTGCTGTAGAAGATATCAACAATTGGTCAACTGACAAAATGATACTGATATTATGATAAGCATTTTATCAGTTGACCACTTTTTAGTATCTTTCATAGGAACTGAGATATATAGTCTCAAAGTTGGCAGTTGCGGGTGGTCGCTAGGCCGGAGGGCGCAGAGAAGCTTGAGAGGCGGCTCTGAATGGCAGTCAACTTTGAGCTTGTATATCGCATTTCCTGTGAAAAAGTAGTCAATTAACAAAATGTTCATCATAATATCCATTATTTTTTATCAGTTGACATACTTTTGATATCTTGAACATGAATCGAGATAAATTGGCTCAAAGTTAAAGTTAGAAAGGTCTACGGTAAATTGGGTCAAAACTATATAAGAAGTCTTCCTGAAAAAGCAAAACATTAGCATGTTTATATAAGGCTTATATAATGCTAATATGTATACAAAACTGTCATAATTATACCCCCATCCCCCCTCTGTCTAGTCTATTAGGTAACCATGGTCATCCAGTTCGCCCCCTCTCCCCGTTTTAATTCGTTTCGTCACGCATTGAACCAATTAAAATCCTCCAACCCATTTTTCTTCTTCAAACAATTTCTCTTCTACCTCTATTAGTCAATCAAATTATTATTATGCAACTTTTCTGAAGGAATTCTATTTCTTATTTCGTACTTTGGCCTAGGATTGTGTACTGCACTGTACCTAGATTTAATTTTGTAAATGTGACCTTCAGCTTAGTCTCCTGCCTAGCTCACTTGTCAGTTGGTCTCAATGTTCATCTACAGTACCCCTATTCCTCTCAAGACTCCTTTACATTCAGTTCCCATGCTCTTCTACGCACAAGAGAACATTAAAAATGAGTAGATTTTTTTGGTCGTCTTTCTCGACATTTCTTTTTTTAGTGGGTCGAAAAGAATGGTAATTAGTTCTTGGAGTAATGATGTTTTTGAAAGAACTTGTGATTTTGGCTCGAGTGATTTGTCATTATATACTCAACTTTGCTATTTTCCAGACTTTTCTTTCGAAACACCGTAAACATTCTAGATCTTCTAACTTCAAGGCAACTTATCTAGCTTTCTATTACAGATATCAAAAATTTGTCAACGGATAAAATGTTACTGATATTATGATAAACATTTTATTAGTTGACCACTTTTTGGTATCTTCTCCAGGAAACGAGATATAAGGGTTTAAAGTTGAAAGCTA